AAATACTCTCACAAAAGACCCACAAATCTATGGAGGGTAATCATTCATACCTTTAGCTTCGGTTCTTGCTTAGATTCCGACCAGCAAGGCTTTTCTATAGGGAGAAACAAAACCTCTTCGCCGGGATTTAGGATACAGAGACCAAACTCACCAGGACTAATAATCAAGAATCAGCCGTTTCTCCCTGTCTCTCTGCTGAACCGCCGTTTCGCGGCAGTTTGCCGCCAAGTCTTACGCGCATGCGTAAAATATCGTCCGATTTTTGCAGCTGTCTCAGTTTGAATCTTGGCATGCACAGAGAGAAGGAGAGAGAAGGAAGAAGCCTCATCTCTCCTGGAGTGGAAGAGCCTTCGTGAACGAGACTGTTTGGTATCGAGATATTAGTCTCCCCTAGTTACTCCTCTTCTAGATGCAAGAGGCTATCGCCGGAATACTCGCCCGTGCAAGCCGAGCGTGAGCCCCCTTTCGGAACCGTAAAAATTGGACCTTGAGTGTACAAACCTATATCTATCTCAATCCTAGTCTCCTTGGGGTTTTCCTGTGCCGGTCCAGGAGGCAATCCCTGATAGATTTTGCTGCGTAAGTAAACCTCGAGCATAAGCATGTGTATTTGGTAACTTCTGCCATTAGCACAGCACTTGACAACTTTGCCCTCGGTGACTGACAACACAGTAAGTTGAATTTACTGGCAGTAACATGTACGTGAGTGTTTTTGTGCAGGTACGATATTTGCAAGAGCAGTGTGTTGAAACAAAGGCAAAAAGACGCCGAAGAGGGAGAGATACAGCATGGCATATCCACCAGACAGTCTAAAGGTACTCAAAAACCATCTTTTTTGCCTTGTTTCAAGGGTCCCCCTGAAAAGAAAGGGGGAATCTTGGAACACAGTGTAATGTCTTTTCCTTTATGTAGCTAGCAAGCTGGACCAGAGAGAGAATTGTGTTTCAAGTCTTGAAGAGAGAGCTGAAACTAGCAGTGAAGATTGCCAAGCCATGGCTGGAGCTGAAAAGCAGGACACTAGGTGTTTAGCCCTTGCTTTATTGTTTCTCGATGTGAAGTGTCTGTAAAATTCTCATCCCTGTCAACAAAGCGAGCGCTAGCGCGGGCAAGCCAGCCCAGGTAGGCAGAACTAAATGGATATAACCGGACATCGTACCTATGTCCGTACGGCCCCGTCCTATAACCGTCCCTTCGTCCGTACGGTCTTCGTTCTAACCGCGCCGGCGTCAGTTCAGAGTTTGTCCTTACCGTGCCGGAGCGTTATCACAGACAAAATCACGGGTTCCGGGACGGACAGTCCGCGTAATAACTGTCTCACCGCGATCTGCGCAGAGTCCGCGTTTAATCATAAACACCGTAACGGGCACCGTTTCCCGTATGAACGGGTACCGCGATGACGGGCTGGCTCATAAAAGATTATTTTAACTTGGCTTATGATTATGACGCACGTGATGTGACTGGCAAAGAATCGAGCATTACAAATATTCCGGAGTGGCCCTGCTACAACTTGTTAACAGCTACAGTAGTGGACTAACTTGGTTGCGGCAGGTCTGGTTGATAGTCCACTTCAGTGAGTGGTGAGGCTCCAGAACCTGTGGAAACATGGAGTATTCAAACAAGCATGTCTTGCAGAAATATGAACTGGTATTATGTTGAGAGCCAACACACAGCCTAATGTTAGTTAGTAAGTCATTACCATGGAGAAGAGAGGACAGGCCTGGTTGAGAGGAGGTGGCTGGACTCTGAGAGGAAGAGACTGAAACAGAGAGAGAGACAATGTAGTATAATATTAAAACTGAGGAGAAGAATCTCAAACACTCCTACCACTGGCTTCAGGCACAAGTGCTTGTGTAGAGTCAGGAATGTGAGCAGCCTCTACAGTCATTGCTAGCTGAGGAAGATTGACTGCAGGACTTTTGAGAGCATCTACAATGACTCTCCAGGTTGGTCTCGGCTCTACTTGGTTCAGGAACAGCATGACAACTCGGAGGAGGCGGTTTTCTGGCTCGGAGTATGTTGAATGGATGGCCTCAACTTGATGTGGCTCGATATTCAGCTTCAGTCCCAGTTGGAAGGACTTGTTCTGTGCTGGTAGTAGCTCCTCCAGTACTTTGACGGCATCGTTTGGAGTCAGGACCTCGCCACCTGTCGTCGGTGCTGTGTACGGGATAACCTCATGTTAGCGATGAAGGCCAACCGACCTTACCTTCGGCCATAGCAAAGTCTCTGATAAAGTCGGGACACACGTAAGGCGGGGCTTGTTACGCCTACCAACACAATCCAGCTCCACCCACTCTTTTTACCAGCTCGAACGCGCACTGTGGCCCGTACAGCAAGACGGTATGATTTGTGCACCACCGCAGCATACAGTCTAGAGTGTAGCTATCTTTACTGAGGGTCAGTTTCCAACAATGTGTACGGGGCCCGCGGCGAGATGTAGATCCTTTTCTTTCGAGATTATTATTATTATTATTATATGCTTTACAACACAGTTATTACAAGGACGATGTAAAGAAAGTGGTAATGAGAATAATTATAATACTGTGTTGAGGGACTGCAGGCAAGGAGCCAGCATCCGAGAAAACATAACCAACACACAAATACATACATTAGTGTATTATAATGAATTACTGCTAAAGTGCATGTTGACAGGTAGTGAAGAGCATTTGTAACACAGACATAAATAGTGATAGGAGCATTCGTCATTGGGATTGAAATGGGAGATGAAATGGTCCCAGAAGTAATTGTGAAGTTTGGATTTGATTGAAGAGAGATGAAGACTAATATCCAGAGGAGGGAGAGAGTTCCATAATCGAGGCATGCGATTGAAGTAAAATATTTTTTCATTATAGTTTCTGGAAACTGTGTGTTTAAGCTTAAAATTGGAGCTTGAGCGAGTATGATGAGCACTGAACTGCACAAAATCGAAAATGTTGAAGTGGTCCGATGGATATCTCATATATAGACTTGATGAAAAATATTATGTCAGCAATTTCTAGTTCCATCATCAAAGGTAACAGTTTAAGATGAATTAAACGATTTCGATAGTCCATAGAAGTATCATTCACTATGAACTTAGTCGCCCTTCTCTGAAGTAGCTCAAGGCATTTCACATCAGCCAATAAGTAAGGATGCCACACAGGAGAACAATAGAGCAGCTGAGATCTTACAAGTGAAATGTACAGGGACCACTTGGCAGACTCTGCCATAGAACTGGAGAAGACTCTGCGTAAGAGGCCAAGCATTTTGTAAGCCCTTGATCTTATTAACTGATAGTGTGGGGGCCAATTCAAATCAGCTGACACAAGTAGTCCAAGATCTTTCTGTTGTGGTTTGGAGCAAATTTGTTTTCCATTCAAACTGTAGTTAAATATTAGAGGAGAGCGTCTAGTAGAACTAGAAAAATGGACAGCAGAACACTTTCCTCATTCAGTGACATGCTCCAGGTGGTACACCACTCAGAGAGCATTGTAAGATCATTCTGGAGAAGTGAGCAATCACGCCAGGAAGAAATAGGCATCACACACTTTGCATCATCCGCGAAGAGTAACATCATAGATTTTTCGAGAACATCCGGCAGATCATTTATAAAGATGAGAAAGAGTAGAGGACCAAGTATACTACCTTGCGGAACGCCAGAGATAACAGGTAAAGTACTTGACACAGATTGGCCGACAGAGACACACTGTTGACGATTGGTCAGATAGGCCTTTATCCAGGACCAGAGACTGCCAGTGATGCCGAAATTCCATAGTTTGTAGAGGAGTTCATTGTGGGCCACTGAATCAAAGGCCTTTCTAAAGTCCAAATATAGAATATCCGTTTGAAAACTGGACCCAGTTAGCATATTGAAGAATAAGAGCAGTTTCAGATGCAGCGGTTGAGACGCGATTGAATCTGCAGAATTGCCTATATAGTGTAGATACTGTTGCCCTGTGTCTCTTTCATGAGATTGCTGCAATTCCACCCACTCTCTCTCTTCTCTCCCTCTCTCTTCCCATAGCTACCCTTTCTCAAGCCCTGTCCATTTGGCAACACACTCTCATGACAGTGCTCCAGAGGCTCATGTCATTAGCTAATCGCCACTGCAACGATGTGAACGCAGACAAAAACTAATGGTGAAAAAGTAAACCAGATATTTCAGTTGGTGTACAATCAGTGGTAGCTAGTAGAGACAAAGTCAGTCAAGGTTTAGAGGGCATGTTAGTCCAGTCATCCAGGACTGCAGTACGGACCAGAGCCTCACACACCAGGTAGGGATCGCCATTACTGGACGGCCGTCTGTCCTCAAGGTAGCCTCGACCAGCTGCACACACACGTCATGTGGGAGAGCAGAGAAAGTTGATATTGTCACTATCATACCAATATGGCGCGCCGTTTGTGTCAAAACGATTTTCCCCCGTAAACCTCAGTAATCGTGGCGACGAATCGTTTTCTGAGCGACGAAAAAATTTTCGGGGCGCCGATTCTCCTTTCGTAGCGACAATTCTTCTTTCGTGGCGACGAATTTCTACGGCTAAGATTGTTTATCAAGCGACGAAATCTTTTCAAGGAAACTAATCTTGGATTGAGGACGACGACGGCACGAAACTTTCCTACCGCGACGATTCATGAATAAATGAAAAGCAATAAAGTGCAAACCCTCGGCGAACTGGGCATGCGAGGTACCACTGATTGATGGGCTGGGCTGCTATTAGTATGCGTTTACTCGTGGTCTCCCGCTAGTAGCTCGCAGAGAGTCTGACACGGGCTAGCTACAGTAGTAGATAGCATGCGAGAGTCGATACATGCCCTTCGTTGTGACTTCTTGTGCCCTCAAAGATACAACAGACACAGAACAGCGGACCCGAGCCTGTTCAAAAAAATATAAGCGCATGCCCTTTTCACCAGCGATTTAAAAATGGCGACAGCATCAGTCGTACAATGGGGAAGCGCTCTAGCTCTGCAACGGAGCATTTTCAGAGAAAACTGTGAATGTCTTACCTCATTGACCGTTAGATAGGTAGTATCCTTGTGAGACGAACAGACACTCGAGGAAGTGAGATTGAGAGTAACAGACACACGGACGGACGGACGGGAACAGGACCAATGAAAAGCACTAAAGTGCAAAACCTCGGCGAAGTAATAGCTGCAGAAGAGTCTGATCGGGCCTATAGCTACCACCAGTAGGTAGAATGAAAAGCACTTGAAAGTGCCAAACCTCGGCCGCCATTGTGTTGACGCGCACGCGTAAGTAAACGCATGCGCCGTACCACTAATTGATGGGCTGGGTTTAGTTTTAGCTGTTACCGTGGTCTCTTCCCAGCTCGCGCAGAGTCTGACGCGGGCTAACCACACTACTAGATAGCATGCGAGAGGCGATACACGCCCTGCGTTGCATCTTCTGGTGCCTCCGAGGTACGCAGAGCACGCGGATCGTTCAGACCCTGGTAAGCCGTCCCGTCCGTTGTGTATTTGCATATTGGCTTTTTCGCGCTCTAGCCTTGCAACGGAGCAGTTTCAGAGAAAACCGTTCGAAAATTCTGACCTTCATTGCCCGTTAAGTAGGTCGTATCCTTTGTGAGACGAACGAACACCCGAGAAGTTAGATTGAGAGTAACAGACAGACACACACACCACAGACAGACCCAAGTACTGTAACCTCGCTCGCATGCCGCCGAGGGTTATGAAAAGCACTAAAGTGCAAACCCTCGGCGAAGTAGCTCGCAGAGAGTCTGACACGGGCCAGCTACAGTAGTAGATAGCACGCGAGAGTCGATACACGCCATTCGTTGTGACTCGTGCTCAAGATAGAAGGAGCAAGCGGACCCGGTCCTTTGCTAAATATAAGCGCATGCGCATTATCCGCCAGCGATAAAATGGCGACTACCGGCATTAGCCATACAATGTGGAAGCGCTCTAGCTTTGCAACGGAGCATTTTCAGAGAAAACCGTTCGAAATTTCTGACCTTCATTGCCCGTTAAGTAGGTCGTATCGTTTGTGAGACGAACAGACATTCGAGAAGTGAGATTGAGAGTAACAGACAGACACACACAGACACAGACAAACCCAACTACAGTACCCTCGCTGCGCATGCGCGCCGAGGGTAATGAAAAGCACTGAAGTGCAAACCCTCGGCGCACTGTGACGCGCACGCGTAAGTAAACGCATGCGCCGTACCACTAATATTGATGGGCTGGGTTTAGTTTTAGCTGTCGTGGTCTCTTCCCAGCTCGCGCAGAGTCTGACGCGGGCTAACCACACTACTAGATAGCATGCGAGAGGCGATACACGCCCTGCGTTGCATCTTCTGGTGCCTCCGAGGTACGCAGAGCACGCGGATCGTTCAGACCCTGGTAAGCCGTCCCGTCCGTTGTGTATTTGCATATTGGCTTTTTCGCGCTCTAGCTTTGCAACGGAGCAGTTTCAGAGAAAACCGTTCGAAAATTCTGACCTTCATTGCCCGTTAAGTAGGTCGTATCCTTTGTGAGACGAACAAACACCCGAGAAGTTAGATTGAGAGTAACAGACAGACACACACACACACAGACAGACCCAAGTACTGTAACCTCGCTGCGCATGCGCGCCGAGGTTAATGAAAAGCACTAAAGTGCAAACCCTCGGCGAAGTAGCTGCGCAGAGAGAGTCTGACACGGGCCAGCTACAGTAGTAGATAGCACGCGAGAGTCGATACACCCCTCGTTGGACTTCTCTCTGCTTCAAGATAACAGAGCAAGGCGGGACCCAATAAGTGCATGCGCTTTTCCTCAGCGATAAAAATGCCGACTACGCATCAGCCGTACAATGGCGGAAGCGCTCTAGCTTTGCAACGGAGCATTTTCAGAGAAAGAAAACGGTTCTAAATTGTCTGACCCTTCATGCCGTAGGTAGGTCGTATCCTTCGTGAGACGAACAGACACTCGAGAAGTGAGATTGAGAGTAGCAGACAGACAGACAAACCCAACTACAGTACCCTCGCTGCGCAGCGCGCCGATGGTAACGATCAAGGTGAGGTGGAGTTCAGAAGGGTTAACTTACTCGAAAACAGTAGTGGCGGGACGAATTTTGGAAGGTACCGATCAATGTACGTATTGCTGTAGCCCTATAGGCACTCTAGGAAAGTTGAACTTTCAACTCTCCTCCAGATACACAAAATATGTAGCCTTACCAGGTCGCCACAATCCAAGATTTTTCGCCTTTATGACAGAATTCTCTCGCCGATAACGATGGTCGCCGTAGACATTTCTCGCGCGCGAAAGAGTGATTACGTTGCCACGGAAGGAGAATCTTCTACGCGAAAACGGTTCGTCGCCCCGAAAACGATCGTCACCCGATACATAGGTTTTACGGAAAGGAAATCGTTTTGTAATGTGCACAAACAAGTTACGTATGTGTACCACACAGTTTAGTACATACTCTAAACAACACCCACTGTAACAACGAGCTCTCTACCACACTTTCTTGTTAGTGGTTCAAAATGCTTAAAGAAGAGACTCCAAGTCCAATAGGGAACATTATCCACTGGACTAGTACTCCGATTGCTAATATGCTATGATGTCATAATTATGTAACCTGAGCGACCCACGAGGTATCTGATGGAGGCCCCTCTGTGGGCCACTCCAGAAGACTGGTCAATGTGTGAGCTGTCTCGTGAAAGACCTGTGCAGTCTACGACGGTTGTTATCTACTCCCTGGGTCGGAGAGGAAGAGGGAGGGAGGAGGACAGGAGGGGAGGGAGGAAGGAAAATAGGAGAGAGAAAGGAGGAATGATTGAAAAAAACTGGTTACAGTAATAGGTCCACCACCCATTCCATAAACCCAGGCTCCATGCACGTGCCATTCGACAGTATAATGCAGAATACTGTTAGCGAGTGATGAAGTGATAAACGGCTCTGGTTATCACCAAAACTTCCCTTCCTTACTCTCATCGCCCCCTCCCCTCTCCCCTCCACTCACTCCACTTGGGGTTCAGAGTATGATGTGGTCCTTGTTGTCTTTCTCCAGTCTCTGCATGGCCTCTTCCTCACCTGCAGCACAAACAAAACCTTACATTCTTGTCTCCTATTGTTATGGGTACTGTGCATTCAACAGTCCAGTCTCAGTAATCATATGTCCGGGAAAGGGAGGAAATGCTGATGTCTAGGAGGTATACAAACAGACACATCTCATTGTTGGCTCTGCCCAGTACGGTATGTGTGTGCATGTGGGCTATGGCCCTAGTGCTACTTGTCCAAACCTTTGAATCTTGAAAAGCATAGCAAAGCAAAATGTGTCCTACAATGTGACATACTAACAGAGCCTTGGAAGTACCTAAAGTTAAGTACAGTCCCAGTGACAAAGCTAATGAGATGAGAGAGGTGGTATGGACATACCTTCATGCCATTCTCAGCCTTCATTCTGGAGGTGCTGAAGTTGCAGTGGCCTCCAGCCCCGTTCCAGTCTCCCGGCATGGGTTTGGGGGTCCAGTGTCACTATCACTCCGAAATCCCCGCCACACGGTGCAAGATGTACCTGCAGCCACATACAGTGAATGAAGTGAGATCTATTTGATATTTTTGTGGTGACAGTGTTTATCCTTAACAAGAAGTTGGGGCTGAAACAATAAAGGTATGTGAGGTTTGCACATAAATCTACAGACAGTCCGTGAAGCAAGCAACACAAAGTTTGAAAGCTGCCTTGTGTGGGACAAAGTCTACAGCACACTGCAAGGCAAGGGTGAACCCTTGTTCCCAGGCCTTCCTCACAACTAGGGTGTACATTTTGAGCTGTCAAACATACCTCAAGACAAGATCAAGACACGAAAGGGTATATACACACATCGGGCACACTGGGTATACGAGTTCCTTTGAAATCTCTCTAGTTATACATAACACTGGAGTATGTACAGACCTGGAGACCCATAGTTCATCTCCCATGGCGGTCCCTGGACAAGGTCCAACCTGGTACCCCCACTGAGCTGACATCACCTCTACATTGGAGCCACTCGTACACAGCCCTGCATACAGACAGGCCTTGTAGTGGGCCTCTGATATCTGAGTACAGTGGGACACAAAACACCACGTGATGACAGACAGTTACGTGGGCACATGTGTAAATGGCCATCTTCAATGCAACCAGGCACTTCTTTTTTAGGTTCTTCAGATAAACCAGGGCTACTAACAAAACAGAAGTACATTCCGTATAACTGGAGTGTGAGGCTGAGCCTACGTATGTTAGTGGTCTGAATTGCTGAGTGTATACTGCATTGTATCATACTGTACAAGTTTTGTTCATGTAAGCCACCAAAAATTTGTTGCTTTCATCGTTTTTTGACGGAGAGCGTTTTCAGGTAAAGTAAACTA